ACTAAACTGAGACTTTTAAATATATTACTAAACTGAGACTTTTAAATATATTACTAAACTGAGACTTTTAAACATATTACTAAAGTGTGACTTTTAAATATATTTCTAAAGTGTGACTTTTAAATATTTTACTAAACTGTGATTTTTAAATATTTTACTAAACTGTGATTTTTAAATATATTACTAAAGTGTGACTTTTAAATATATTACTAAACTGTGACTTTTAAATTTATTACTAAACTGTGACTTTTAAATATATTACTAAACTGTGACTTTTAAATATATTACTAAAGTGTGACTTTTAAATATATTACTAAAGTGTGATTTTTAAATATTTTACTAAACTGTGATTTTTAAATATATTACTAAACTGAGACTTTTAAATATATTACTAAACTGTGACTTTTAAATATATTACTAAACTGTGACTTTTAAATATATTACTAAACTGTGATTTTTAAATATATTACTAAACTGAGACTTTTAAATATATTACTAAACTGAGACTTTTCAATATATTACTAAAGTGTGACTTTTAAATATTTTACTAAACTGTGATTTTTAAATATTTTACTAAACTGTGATTTTTAAATATTTCACTAAACTGTGATTTTTAAATATATATTACTAAACTGTGACTTTTAAATATATATTACTAAAGTGTGACTTTTAAATATATATTACTAAAGTGTGACTTTTAAATATATTACTAAAGTGTGACTTTTAAATATATTACTAAAGTGTGATTTTTAAATATATTACTAAAGTGTGATTTTTAAATATATTACTTAACTGGTAGACAAGAAGAGAATATTTTATTTTTCACTCACTACTAATATCTGATATGAATGCACTTCTGTATTTCAATAATAACTAAGATTCCAAATCGTAATGTTTGAAATCGAACAGTCGTAACGATGTGTTAATTTAAAAGAACACACATTTAAGTGTAAAACTTGCCATGTAAAAACTTAAACCAATGAATAATATTTATCAAAAATGATAAAAGTAAACATTTCACTGCATGGTAATGAACCCTTTTGGAATACTAAAATAAACCCTAAAATCTTAGTCGAACCCTTAAACACATTTTGCTCAGCTATCATTAAGGCTTTATGTATCCGATATATTTAACAAGATTTTCTTCGGGAAACTCTGTAAAGAGTTATATACGGTTCCATTTGATTAGTCTTGTTTGTGCAGAACGTACAATCTATTAATTATTAAGTTGGCCCGGCATGGCCAGGAGGTTAGAGCACTCGACTCGCAATCTGAGGATCGCGGGTTCGAATCTCCTTCCCACCAAACATGCTCGCCCTTTCAGCCTTGGGGGCGTTATAATGTGACGGTCAATCCCACTATTCGTTGGTAAAAGAGTAGCCCAAGAGTTGGCGGTGGGTGGTGATGACTAGCTGCCTTCCCTCTAGTCTTACACTGCTAAATTAGGGACGGCTAGCGCAGATAGCCCTCGTGTAGCTTTGCGCGAAATTCAAAAAACAAACAAACAAACAACTTATTAAGTTATGCCACGTTAAGCTTTGTTATTGTGGTTGCCTAACCTTACTTGTAACGTCTTCCTTTTCGATACATACACGAAGAATAAGATATTGTATGAACAACTATAGCACATTGAAGTAGTCTCTGAAATATATATTAATAACCAATAAGCATCAAAAACACCCAAATTATTCGTGAAATTAACTATGAAACAACAAGTTTCCAGCTATTTCAGAACGTGAAAGCTACCTAAGGACCACAGGAAACTTTTTAAATCTTAATATGACATCTTGTCCCTACCTCAAACACCCGTTCGTGGCTAGTACGCCACGTGGTGCTAACTTACGTAACTAATACATAGACGACAATTTCCTGGCAATGTATTGTGTTTTAAGTGATGGTAAATCTATATTTGTATTTTTGTAAGCACCGCGAAAAAGGTTTAAAATACCGCTTTTATGCTACAACAAAACCACAAAGTTTCATAGAAATTAGTGTAATTGATTTCAAATCGGTTTACTTCTGTGACTTAGCCTTGAGAAAACTAAATGTTTCATTGTGCTATAAACGACACATTTATGAGCCATTGTGCTACTGAGGTTTGTTTGAAAACATCGATAAGTATAAAACATAATTTCAACACCTGGTCCACTTTGATTCTAGTAATGGCAGAACTACAGGTGAAAATAATTACTGTTCACGTTAACTGAGAAACGACGGAAATGAATATAGAATCCGGATTTTGTTTTTCTTAAAGAAGGTAGCTCGCCAGTTTCACTAATTGTTAGTCAGTTTCCTTTGTTACACAAACGGATATCTTTACTTCTTCTATTTCTCGTCAACTCCGTTTGGAAGTGAAAGTTTGATTGTGTATAGGTCAATTTCAGACATTCCACCATGAAAAGTAATGAAACTAAAAACTAAGTAGCGTATTTTCAGGCCGTTATTCAGACATTCCACCATGAAAAGTAATGAAACTAAAAACTAAGTAGCGTATTTTCAGACCGTATTCAGACATTACACCATGAAAAGTAATTAAACTAAAAACTAAGTAGCGTATTTTCAGGCCGTTATTCAGACATTACACAATGAAAAGTAATTAAACTAAAAACTAAGTAGCGTATTTTCAGGCCGTTATTCAGACATTACACAATGAAAAGTAATTAAACTAAAAACTAAGTAGCGTATTTTCAGGTCGTTATTCAGACATTCCACCATGAAAAATAATGAAACTAAAAACTAAGTAGCGTATTTTCAGGTCGTTATTCAGACATTCTACCATGAAAAGTAATGAAACTAAAAAATAAGTAGCGTATTTTCAGACCGTATTCAGGCATTCCACCATGAAAAGTAATGAAACTAAAAACTAAATAGCGTATTTTCAGATTTTTTTTTTAATTGCATACATACTTATATGTGAAAAGTTCGCCGTGATAGTATTTCTGTTACGTGGAGATAAAAAAATAACAATACTTATGTTGAAAGCTAAATAAGCGTTAATGCATTCCGGATACAATATTTATGGTAGATAATTGTTTTTGTGTTTTTTTATTGTTTTTATTTTGTACGGGTATTGTAAAAGTAGTTTATCAGTCGATTGTTTATTCTGGTAACTTAGTATCCTGGGTGTGACTCTTAAAGTGACTTTATTCTTTTATCTAATCTGCATAATTTTCACATACTTACTCTTGTGTAGTATTAACATCCTTTAGTAAACGGGCCCGGCATGGCCAGGTGGCTAGGGAGCTCGACTCGCAATCTGCATGTCGCGGGGTCGAATCCCAGTCCCACCAAACATGCTCGCCCTATCAGTCGTGGGGGCGTTATAATGTGACGGTCAATCTCACTATTCGTTGGTAAAAGAGTAGCCCAAGAGTTGGCTGCGGATGGTGATGACTAGCTGCCTTCCCTCTAGTCTTTCACTGTTAAATTTGGGACGGCTAGCGCAGATAGCCCTCATGTAGCTTTGTGCGAAATTCAAAACAAACAAACCCTAATAAAGTCGTATAAAATTCATTTTACTATGACTTAAGAAATTAAAACGGCATATTGTCATAATGACGGACATTTACTATTGCATTTACAAATCGTTTTGGTAATATATATATATTATGTATACGTGTGTGTGGGTGGAGAGATGACGTGTTCATTGAAAATCATTCATAATCAGGACGATTTTATTTTTGATGAAGAGGCTAATCTACGATTTTTTTGGGACCATTTTGAGCTTTTTCAAAATCGTTTTGTAGTGGATCACATGCTAACACATTAGCACTAACACTAACATGCTACAAATTGCCTGGATAATTGTTTCTAACTTAATTGTCTGTTTCGAAGGTTCGATCTCATTTCGTTAGAACTATGCTAACCGACATGTAAAAATGAAATGTACGTTAATGCCGATCTTATGATCTCGATAGGAAGTTTATATGTTAGTACTCAATTAAATGTCCCTTTGCTGAATGATGAAGTTTTGTTTAATATGGCATTGTGTTATACTAGGTGGAGCAATCAAGCAGCTGTGCCCTTGGTGGGCAGAGCACAGATAGCCCATTGTGTAGCTTTGTGCTTAAGTAT